TAATTTAAAGTATCAACGTCTCAGAGCAATATAATTTGTTGGTTGTACAAATACGATGTGACTTCCCTTATATATGTATATATATGGTTGAAATTAATATAATGTCTCTATAATAACATATCCCATGTTGCTGTAACCGTATTTAATTACCACTAAAACATAATGTATATACATACGATTAATTTAAACCAAAGACCCATCACAATCGTTGAATATATCATGTAGATTTTCTCAATATCAACGTCCTCTTTTTGGATTATATACTGCAACTATTGGGTGAACAAAAAGTAAATTGTTATTGTTCGTGAACATGACAGTATCAATTTCTCTATAATTTACAATCATTAACACTTTAAAAATAATTAATCAGTCTAGTGAATTATTATGCAACATGATTTTTTTATGAAACTTTCACAATATGTGTGAATGCGAGTTATTAGTTGTAAGTTGCTGGCATGATTGAATGAGAACCAGTCGCATGGTAAGAAAGACTTAGTTGTTCTTGAAAGACATACTACCCATGGTTTTGAAAAATCAAATGTACACAAACATTAGGAGCTGTTCAAGATTGAAACTCGCTCGCCAACTGAGAAACTAACACGAAAATGCCTATTTAAAACAAAATCCCTTATTTTTTATTTTTAAATATGTTTTACTTGTGGCATAGCTAAAAATCAAAAAAGTGTGTAGTCAATATTATTATATTTATGAAGACAACAAAATCAAATAATCATCAAACTCAGATCGCTCACAAGCCCACATCTATACTTTAATAAGTAAACTTATTAATTATGTGTTTACCTTCCTGGCACAATCCATTTGTCTCCAAATTCATCAGACTCAGCAACTAATTTCAGTGTCCCATCTGGCATCGGTATCTGCATATCATTAGACGGATCCCCGTCAGCATTTCCCAACATGCCACAAACTTTTCCAAACATAGATTTGTTTAAAACAGGAGCAACGCGTCCTTTGCCGTTCCATGTCAATGTAAATTTTGAATCCAGTTTTGCTCTCAGGTATCCCGCATTATCTCGTGTCACTGTCAGATTTCCGAGTATCAGTGGAGTCAGAATGTTATGGATTTTGCCATTTATCTAAAAGGTATATTTGAATATAATAGTTAATATAAATGAATGTGAATTATTTCCGCCCCAAGTTGCATTTCAATATGACAACAATTGAATTAAAATAAACAAATAAAATAAAATAGATATTAAACTCCAAGCTACATGAATCAGAGCATTGTAGCATTGTTGTTTTAAGAAAGGCTATTGTTAAGAAATTACAATTTTACTGTAGGCCACATTACAAACATGGCAAACATGACAATGCAACACATTTATCACAATACACCAAATTTCAATAGAAGGACGACAAAATATGAATCCGCGATTTACTAGAATATAATGTTAGGGTTGATTGGCCTAATCTCTTACTAGAACCAAAATTGTGAAAAGTAATTCATAATAGTGAAATAATAAACAAAAAAACGAAAAGGTCACAATATATTCTGATTGGTGAACACGACTCAGCCGATAGAAGTGACCAAAAAACTCTTTTTTAATGTGTGTAGACAACAATTGAGAGAGATGGGATTTACTCACGTAAAGCCTGTCTTCAATCAAGGTAACACGGTCCCCATTAACAACCGAAACTTCGGAAACCACCATTTTCATAGCTTCTTTGAGATAATGGTGTCGGATCAAAACAGTGAATGATGGACGAGGTACGCACTCTTCAAATAATACGTACTCACAATCACTATGGCCATTATACATATAATGAAAGCCGTCGAATGTATGAATTTGTGGGTCACCCTTGTCACTGGCACTCCCTGTTGGTCGTGGCGATAGTGTTGGTTCTGTAATAATGCAATGTTTTCATTAAATTACATAAGTAGTACTTTTGAACCGAATTGGGGAGTTCGATTTCCTCACATGAAACGTTGTACGTGAAATGAACGCCTCAAAATATTATCATCTGAGACTGAGTTATAATTATTCATGGTGGCCGATAAATAGAAACGCGACTGGATAATAATATCTCATTGATAAAATAATTTGTACTTTTAACAAATAGTTATCAACGCAATTGTGTTGTTATAGTATACAAACCAACTTACTGGGGTCCACTGCAATGAAAAAAGAAATAATTTTATTGATAATTATTTAAAATTGTGATATACTGTAGTAATGCGAGATAACGTATGTTTAGATTTGTGTATCCTAAATATTCTTACATTTGCAACAATTGCAGTATTTGGGAAATGGACAGGTTTCTGGTTTTAGTCCGACGTGCTCCCCCATTTCACATTCGTGCCTGCACACGCCTCCAATCAATTCACATTCAGTGTCTGTAATTTGAAAGTAACAGTGTTAGTTGGTCAAGTATACATTTTCTATTTCGTCAACAAATCATTCAAATTTTTCATTTTGTTTACATTCGCCATCTCGTGTGTGCAATTCCGTTAACGGCCACACATTCGGAATTTTGCAACAAGTGTTCATCATATCAATAATATTTTTACGAGCAAAATATTCAACAATTATAGTAAACGAAATTATATTTTTGGTTTATTTATTGAAATTACATAGCCTTAACTTACGACAAAACCATGGACATATATCGTAATTGGTACCGGCATAGTCCAGAGCTGAAAAGAAAAGTGTCCAATTAAAAAAATGATTTTTCACAAAATAAGTCCAAAGCGACTGCGGTCACAAACAGTTGCACGTATTGTTTTAATTGTTAATGTTATTACAATTCTTATGTTAAACAATATTTGAATCAAGTCGTAATAATGTTTGTATTAAGTTTTGCAAAATCCTAAACAATGACACTAATAAGTGTATAATACCCGCAATAGAAATCAAGTATGTTTAGTGACAAGAGCTTACCGTCATTATTAGCGCACGCCTTGCATCCTAATTTGTCATCAGAATTACCACAGGGTAAGGCAAAATCTCTATAGTCACATATTTCTGTCTCGTCGTCTTGACACGACGCTCGGCACTGTGCAGTCATATTAACTGTAGGCATGACCGGGACTGTGGCCCTATATGCAATTGCTACAATACGAGACAAAATAAGTTTAAATATATACAGTCAGCAGGCAAATCAAATTATTAAGTTGAGAAAAAAAGAAAACATAATTGTCATACTTACCAGGACAAGCTTGTGCAGCACCTAAGAAGTTAATAGAAGTCTACGTTGAGATGAAATATATATAGCCAATACAAATTTTAATCGTTTATAAAATATATATATGGAGGATGCTGACACGGCCTCTGGATTACTCGGTATTGAGGCGAAATATATATATATATATTATACACATATTCATACAAATATATCACGAAAACAGTCGTCGGTTACTAGTGAGATAACTTATGACGATATATGTTTCACTTATGAAGGCTAATAAACTGTTGTGGTTTAAATAGGCACGTCCGAGACAGTTTGTGCTGTACTCTGTACCAATGTAAATATAACACTGACGGACAATACTGATTATAGTTGTACCTCTGTACAACACTTTTCCTTCAGAAAAGAATTGTCTTTATAACCTCGTAAATACGAATTGTAGACGAACACACCAAATTATTTTATTAATTACATGTCATGCAAATCGTAATTTTGAAATAGTATTCATAACACATACAGTAACTGTGTAAAAATGTGCAACTCACGAGTTTGTCTCGGGAAAACCCATTTAGAAAGTCCATTCTATACAAACAAAAATATGAAATATAGCTGCATAGCAGCAATGACGGGTTTCGAGCCTGCATGGCTCATGGCAAATTGCACTTGCTTGATGTGATTATTTGACGAACGTTTCATGTCTAAAATGCAATGTTCCTAACAAGCCCTCTGGTATTTTGCTATTATGAACCACACTGGAATCAACAGACATAACCATTTATAGTCATCTGTCTAATGTCTGGCAAGTTGTTCATGAGTTATAGCGTAATTTCACTTTTTACTAAATCCACGATGGCTGCCAAAAGAAGTCATTTTTCAAAAATCTGCTTCAAAAACGTTGTAGAGCTATCAACATAGGTGGCATATTCTAAACTGCTTGTCAAACAAGCAAGCAATTTTTAAGAAGATAATTTTTTGAGGTTTTTTGCATTTTTTTGATAAATTCAAGATAGTCGCCAAAACCACTTGAATCATGGGAAATATTTTTATGAACACATAATCATCTTATTGAAGGGATCTTGTATG